GTGACCATTATGTGGTGTTATTTCCAGTGAAGTTAAACCAACAGCATGTGAGACTTTTCCCCCAATAAATCAACTCCTGCCAAATAGGACTGCCACAATGACAAGCAGTTGAGACAATTAATAAGCCCTGCAAGGTGAGGCACTGAAGACTCCTTGAGAGACCAACAGGGTTGGGCGGTACCCTCTCACCTCCATCAAGTGTTGAAGCTAAGACTACCTGTTAAGGACATTTGCAGTGCATGGGTTGTTCAATTTAAGGTCCTCTAGCTGGATTCTGAATCTATAGTTATGAGATATTTATACCTCCAAAAAACATTATATTTATACAAAATGCCAGCATCTTGCAAGTGGAACACACTGCTAAAGATCAGGAATAATTACTAGGGCCATTTTGATTTACCTGAGAAAACGTTCAAGTTCTTTGGCTTTTTTTTTTTTTTAATTGTGATTTGGGTGAAAGTTTACAGAGCAAATTTGCTTTCCATACAGCAGTTCACATACACTTTGTCTCATGACATTGACTACACTTCCACAATGCAAGAGCTCCCCTCCCACTTCCTCCCTATAGTTATCTCTTCCCTGTGTCCTTCCCTTCCATGCACTCCTGCCCCCTGAGCTGTTTTCCTGTGCATACGCAGCCCTTCTATTCTCCCATGATTTTTCCCTCCAAGGAGTACATCTACCTAATGTAAATGTTCAGCTCATATGTCTATCTTTTGTTTGGCTGGAAGCCACAGGAGTGGGTTCAATTCCAGACTGGAAAGGCAGCTAGGGGCCATAGTCTCAGGGGTTCCATCAGGCTCTATCAGACCAGCAAACCTGGTTCCTTTTTAATTTTTTAAATGATTTTGAGTTATGTTCCACATTGTTCTCCCATTCTGTCCAGGATCTCCTACATAGATCCCCCTCTGAGTGGTTGACAGTGGTAACCAGGCACCTAGTTCTTCTGGACTCATAGTCGTATAGGCTGAAGATTGCATGGTGTACTACTAGTTGCTTGGACTAATTGTTTCCGTGCATCTTTTGTTTTCTTCATTCTTCTTTGCTCTGGA